GGACCCAGTCATACGGATTAGGGGCCCACCCTACTCCAATGTGACCTCATCTAACTAATTACATCTGCAATTACCCTTTTTCCAAATAAGATCAGATTCTAAATTACCAGAGGAGAAGACTTCAAAATAAAAATGAGGACGGGGGGAGGACACAATTCAACCTATAATAAGACCATAAGAATAGAATATTTCCCAAGCAAATCCAATACTCTGAATGTATACTTAAATAATAAGATAACAAGAGAGCTATAAATGGATCTTGATTTGTAAAAAAACAAAAAAAATTGTTAATGCAGAAAGAATATCTTAAGGATTTCAGCAGCAACCACGTTATAACTCCAGTCCATTATTAGGCATTATTTTATTTCCCTAAACTTTCCTCAGTTTCATAAGATGAACTAGAGTTTTTCAATATAGAAAAGGAATGGAGGACGCCTGGGTGGCTCAGTTGGTTAAGCGACTGCCTTCGGCTCGGGTCATGATCCTGGAGTCCCGGGATCAAGTCCCGCATCGGGCTCCCTGCTCGGCGGGAGGTCTGCTTCTCTCTCTGACCCTCCTCTCTCTCATGCTCTCTCTCTGTCTCTCTCAATAAAAAAAAAAAAAAAAAAAAAAAAAGTTAAAAAAAGAAAAGGAGGGGCGCCTGGGTGGCTCAGTCCGTTAAGCAGCTGCCTTCGGCTCAGGTCATGACCCTGAGGTCCTGGAATCGAGCCCTGCATCGGGTTCCCTGCTTGGCGGGAAGCCTGCTTCTCCCTCTCCATCTGCCTGCCACTCTGCCTACTTGTGCTCTCTCTCTCTCTCCCTTTCAAATAAATAAATAAAATCTTAAAAAAAAAAAAAAGAAAGAAAAGGAATGGAAACTAAATGGTTAAGAATTATATTTCACAGGAGAAAAGAAAGAGCTGATAAAATGAAAAACATGTTAAAGCAAAAGTATCAATATATCTACATAGTAAAATAAATGTCTCTCTGCATCCACTGCCAAATACGTAGACCAGATGAGTGCTACATTTCACAAAACTAAGTTTAAAACATGTTACCACAAGGACACCATCATCATTCAGACACCTCTCAACACATTTTACCTCAGCATTACTGGGTCGCAGGTGGTGACAAGATAGCTTGAATGTGGTATGGAGAGAAAGTTAACTTGGTTTTCACTGTGAGGAAAACAATAACAACAACACTAGTTTTCTTTAATTTGAGAGGATGTTCTTTAAAATAAAAGCATATGGCCTATGAATGTGATCAAAGCTGTGTGTTTTCTATAAATCTTCCAAAGTTTTCTGTTACTACAGATCTGTAAAGTGAAAGTTCTGAATTTTGTTGCACTGATTATTAGGCCTAAAAGGCATATGGCTGTCACCTTTCCATAAAGTGATGCAAGGAGCAGTAAGTGTCCTCTGGTAATACAATAGCCAGGGACAAAAATTCTGTTGAATGTGTCTTCAAGTCACCTCTTGTGATATCAAGAAAATGTCTTAAGCTCTGTGGGAACAATCTCTGCCAACCTAGTAAGTTCAACACTTCGGTGGGGCCACTATAAGAAGATGGTTCTGTGGCATGTGGAGTCAATTTTAGACTTTAAAAAATGTAATCAAGACTTCTTCAAATGTGGTGACTAAAAATAATTTACTAAAAGTCTATGATCAGGTGTTCCTTTTTATTTCTAGATTACACATACACAATCATAGAATACACATTATTTGAAAACGAGCAAAAGGAAAAGTATCCTCACAAAAAATATATTTAAAAGTTGTTAGGTCACTTGATGAATCCTTTACACAGTGGTGAATGGCTTTTTCAGAAAGGACTGACTCGGCACACTTTTCTATGGATGTGCATTTGGGCTTTTCAATTTCTCTCTAAATTCATTTAGCAGAATTAAGAACAGGAATGTAAAACCTGGGGCAAATGCACAAATCTGCTTAGGGGTAGAAGCATGGAGAACAAGTAATGATGGGAGATGACCAAGAAAAAGAAGAAAGTGGAAAGACCGAGATTTTGCAAAGCAAAGCTCACCCAAATACACTAGCCTGTAAATGAGTTCTCTCCAATTCTTATTCCCAACCTGGTGTTTCACTCTGGAGCGGGGCTTAGAGGAAATGTGAATGAGATAATAAAAACTTTCCCTTGCTCCTTTAACTTTTAGAAGGAGCTAATGTGCAATCTTTTAATGACCTGCACAGTTACTCCTAGTCATTAGCATGTAGATTCTTTTCAGCAAATGTGTTCTCCACATGCCATTCTTCTCTCAACACCCACTCCTATTTACTGCTTCATAACCTCCAACTTCCAACAGTTGGTGGGAGCAGGAAAAAAAAAAACATGAAAGGGAAAAAAATGACAGCTGGTTTCAGTGGAAAGAAGACTAGATCTTTTTACCCGGTGGCATGTTGGAGTAGGCTTATACTGGCTCAGAGAGTCGGTTACATTTTTATGATTTTGTGAGCCAGTTGTTAAATAGAGCCATTATTAACAATTAAATAATATAAACTTAAATTCAAGTAAATAATATTAAAACAGAGGTACGAAATATGTAAAACGTATCCCTTCCTATTTTACTGTGTTTTACTTTCGCCACGCTTTTGAGGTTATTTATGCCTATTTTATCTGTGTGCTAGAAATACTATGTAATGGTGTACTTCAAACTGGTCAAGGTGGAATATTTACACCAAAGAAATTGGCAAATGCTAAAAATCAGGGTGTAATTCTGTTCTGTTGATGACCTAGGCTTCAGAAAGCCATGGAGAATGTTTTCTAATAACACATATTAAACCCAAAATGTGTCATGTCATGATCCTGTCAATAGCACACAAAAAAATTGAGGAAATTTTCCAGCATGTGAAAATGATTACCCAACTCAGCAAAGAATCTGCTGAAGGAGGAGGTCATTGAGAGGACATGACTGCCAGTTGACCCTCGAGCTGGACCAGGACTATCCAAGCCTCCTTACTTCTTCCCCTGTCCTGGAATGTACATCTTGCCCACTGTGGGAGTCATTTCAAGGACACAGCCTTGAGAAAGCAGTGTGCTGTTCAGACCATCGAGATGATATACATGAGTGAACACAGTGAAGGACTGTTTAAACTTTTAAGATTCTAGTAGGCAGGCGCAACGATCTACTCAACTTGCAGCAACTTCATATGTAAGTTACCTTGCTTATGAAATCTGCCATCTACCAGTCTGGAGTGGCCTGCTTCTTTCTTCAGTCTCTCCTCCTTTCCGTGTATGGGGGCCAGTTCTGATTTTCACCCCAGAGGTTTCTGAGGTTGTGAACCAACATCACATCACTGATGGAGTGAAATTCCAATACTGACTTCCTTGTTTCACTTTCCTATTACTCTTCAAAGTAAATAAAAATATCATCCAGCATTCATGTCAGAACTACAGAATGAAGCATTTACCAAATTCAACAAAAAAATACTGTCAGCATTAAACTGGCTATATAAAATTTACAATAAAGAACATTTTATATATATATATGTACACACATATATATACATTCATATGTGTATATATATAGTCAAGTGAGTGTTACATTCTTTAAACACATTATATATAATGTATTATACAATATCATAATGTAATAATGTATGCAATATAATACACACTTGTTTTGTTTGAGATCCAATTATTAAAGGTTTACCACCATCCCTGTCTCTACCATGAGAAAACTATTGATTAGGAAAAGTTGTTTAACTCTGAGTATCACCTTCCTTATCTGCCAACTAGTGATATGAGTGCCTTCCTCAGAGCATAATTTTAGGAGTAAAATAAAACAGTTTATACTAAAACCCTGTATGGATTGCAAATGTTAATTACCGTCAAACATTCAGCAAATACATTTCAGCTCCTAATATGAGCTCTCTTAAGAATTCTCAAGTTTTGCAAAGATGAACAATGTTTAATCCTTCTCCTCAGGTTGCTTACTGTCTAGAGATGAGAGATACAGGTAAATAAAATAATTTAAGAAGATGAAATGTGATCCAACAGAGGAAAAAGCGAAGTGCTATGCAATTCAAGGAAAAGAAGTGAGTGATTTTACCTGGAGCACCAGGGAGGACTTCATAGAAATGGTAGAATTATGAGATAAGTTTTAAAGAGTAATTTGCATTTGTACCAGTTGAGATAGTGTATGTGGAAAGTGGAGGCATTCCAGGCTGATAGATGAAACACCAAACATATTATCACCACATATATTATAATACCAACTAAGGAAATCATAATTGTCTTGATAAACCCACTGCATCAAAAACCCTTACGTGTTATTTCCATGTACAACAGAAAGAATTATGCCATTATACATTATACAATCCAGTGTGCCTAACGACAATCTTGCATATTCAAGAGTTGACTATTTATTCAGTTTTTCCAATTTATAAGCCATGTTCATTTCTAATAACCAAAGTGTAAATTATCCTATGACCTTCTTTCCTTAGTGAAAGAAAACATTCATGTCCAGGTGATTTTTAAAATTATTTTTCAAGAAACTCCTCTGTATAATATGTCCTCCTTAACAGGACAGAAGGGATTAGCCTATAGACATAAAGCAAACTTTCCACTGATTTCAACTCTATAAACACATAAATTATGCACATATTATGTAAACAATGAAGAACACGTCTAAAGTGAGGTTTTAATGGGAGAGTGGAACACTGAGACACGAGAAAAGTGAAACCTTTTCATACATTCATGGGAACAAGGACTAACTATTAAAGAAAGAGCATTATTTCATCTCTCAGTTAATGAGTCTTGCAAGGGTTGACATTACTCAGTAAAGTTCACTGAAAAGCTTTTCCCCTTGCTAGTCAAAATATGCTAGTTAACGTTTGTGACTTTGAAAAACAACACTTCGAAGAAAGCTTGGCAGAGCATCTACAGAATTTAAGTGTAAAAAGAGAAGATGTCTATGAACCTCTCACACACACAAGTCTGACACGATGGGTCTGTAGCCTTGACCTCAAGTGACTATGGAACAGACCACAGGGCCAATCTAGGTCCCTATGGGACATACGTTATAAAATCATTCTCTCCACACTGAAATGAAAGCCTTTTTCGCCTTCTCTCTGGATCTCTCGCCTCCCAGTAGAGGCACTCCTTCGGCAAGCCACCCTACCAACGGAGCCTTTCACTCGTTCTCTCCCCGATGACAACTGTCAGTCTGTCGCTATCTGAACATGCAACATTTCAACAAAATCTAAAGGGAAATTGGAAGCGCAGGGGCTGGAATACTCTGTTTAAAACCACACAGCCAGACCTCCTTCCTGGGGATCCAAGACTCCTCAACCACCACCACCTTTCAAACTGCTGAAGGTAAGAATCACCCTAGTCTTAACTAAGACTTAAAGCTGCTTCCGTCTCAGAGCCTGAGCACTCGCAAGCACCTTCTAATTAAACAACGTTACTGGAAATCATCCCAAGAAGAAAGAGCCCACAAGCCCCGGGGAAACTTCAGCAGGAAAGCAGAGGGTGCTAAAGCCAGTGGTCCAACCGGGGGGGCGGGGAAACCGCTCACTCTCCCGCGCCTCGGCAGCGGCCCCTGGACCTCCAGGGCGACGCCCGCTGGGTGCGCGGTGACCCCCAGAGCGTAGGGCCAAGAGGGAGACCGCGCCCTCGCGTCAGGCAAGGGCGACTGGCTGAGCGCCCGGGGCGGGAGGGTAGTGCGAGTCGGGGCGGCGGGGAGGCGGGGGCCGGAGGGAGCGCCCGGCTCACACGCCCGCCCCGCGCCAGGAGATGCGGGTCCGAGGGTCCGCGGTGAGGGGCCAGGGAGGCCGGTCCCAGGGCAGGCGCGGGTCCCGGGACGGGGGCGCGCGGGGCACTCACCAGCTGCAGCGCGCAGAGACAGATGAGCGAGCAGCGCCCGGTGCAGCAGCCCATGGTGCCGGCGGCGTCCGAGCGGCGCGCGCGGGGAGAGGTCTGCGTCCTACGGCGCCGCCGCTCCCGACTCCGGAGCAGCCCCCGCCCGGCGCTCGCCCGGCCCGGCCCAGGCTCGCCCGCCCCGCGGCCGCCGCTCGCGGCTCTCGGGGTCTGGGCTAGCGCACCGCCTTTGTTAGTTTCCCGGGCGGGCAGAGGTCAGTGCGGCGCGCTCGACCCGAGCGTCTGGCGGGGTCCCTGCCTCCCACCGGGCAGGTCTGCTTCTTGGGGAGGGGGAGCCGGCCGGGCGGGCGGGGCGGGGGGCGGAAGGGAGGCTACAGATGGTGAGTGGGTGGAAGTCTGTTTAGGGGAGGGGAGTATGAGGAGGTGGGCGTCTGAAAAGTGGAGTGGGCTGTCTGGGTTGCGGGGTGTGTGTGTGTGTGTGTGTGTGTGTGTGTGCGCGCGCGCGCGTGTGTCTGGTGGGAGGCGATGAATGAAAGGGAGTGCCACTGAGGAGGCTCGGCCTGTCTTGTTAGGAGTCTTTGGAGAGAGAGACCGAGGGAGGGAGAATGAGAATGAGGATGAATATGAATGAGCGTGAATTAGGGCGGCTGGTGGCGGTGGAGACGTTTGGCGGCCGGTGTAACTGGGGAGACCGGGCTGGGCTTTCTCTCTGGGGCTTGTGCTGGGGGTCGGGAGGGCGGTCGAAGGCGTGTGTAGAGGAGGGGGCTGGGTTTTGCTGAGCTGCCCCAGAGGTGTAGACGTGGGAGTTGAGAGCGTTTGGTGTCCGGGGAAGCGGGTCCCAGAGGCGAGAAGCCAGGGGCGGGCGAGCGCCGCGCAGCGCCGGGCGGAGCTCCGGGACGGCGGCGCTGCGAGCGCGGGCGGCCGGAGAGGAGCGGGCGGGCGCGGCGCTGGCGGGTCTCCTCCGCCCGACGCTGGGAGCGCCGCTCCGGGGTCCCGGGGCCGGGGTCGCTCCTGCCCGCCGCAGTCGGTAGCTCAGAGGGCGCCCCTGCTGGAGCCTGGGAGCCAAAGTTGGACCGAGTTAGTGTGGCGAGAGGCGAGGAGGCGGCGGCGAAGAGCAGCGCCGGCTGGAGCGCGGGGGTGAACCGGGACGCCACGAGGAGCTCCGGTTTAGGTTTCCCAACTATTAAAGGCTCTTCGAAATTGTCGCCAGGCAGGAGAGAAGACCAGGCGAGAAAGGAGAGGATGCGTGGCTTTTTCGAGGAATCGACAATATTTCCGGGATGAGGATGTGATTTCTTCTCTGAGAAAATGAAATTGTTTGAGAGGGGCTTGGAAATAAGACCTCGTCCCGGAGAGTTAAAATCCCGGACTCTCCATGAATCCCAAGGAGACTCTCCGGCTCTGGCTCCCTCAAGAGAATAGAGCGGAGGAGGTCTGTGGAGGATCAAATTTCATCGGGGCCCAATGTCAAATTTCATGGGCACATTTGTTGTACCTGGTGGAACTGCGCAAGTCGCTCGAGCACGCTGGAAGAGCAGAGAGCAAGCCTCCGGGCCATTTGTCACAGAAGAGGCTTTCTTCAGAACTTGGCACAGAAACCCCGTTTCTAGCCTACTGCTGCCCTCCTGGGTCCTTCGCGGTAGGTTAGCAGGAAAAGGAGAGATCTTTGCATTTTTAAAACATTCACTCTACACATGGAAACTATGCTCAGGTCATTCCTTCAGGCATTAAAGGGAGTTATGGGAATTTTTTGTTTTGTTTTGTTTTGCAATTAACTGCCTTTTTCTGAACTGTTCCTCCAAGACCCATGTTTATAACTGAAAACAGTTATAGCTCCCAGAAAACAATCCTTGAATGGTAACTTTGAAATTTTAGTAGGGACAAACAAATAACCTCAGGATGTGGGTCCATAAAGGGGCCAAAAACATGCATTGTTTAGGTTCCACCTCTGTCCATTATCATAGAGAAGGGAAAAAATGGAGTCAGAGGCCTTTGTTGTTGTTATTGTTGACCCAATCTTTAAGACATCAAGCGATCAAGGATCAACATTTCTTTTATACACAATAAACGTAACCATCACGATTTATGACCAATGAAAACAATAGGGAAAAATGGACCCTGACTAATAAATAATTTAGCATATCTTAGAGGACAGGGCAGAAAGTTCCAGGCATCAACCCCTCTGGAAGCTGTAGGAAGGCAGCTGAAGAAGCAGAGGACATGAACAAGTCTATCTACAACTTCCAGAAATTATCATAGTCTCTTCATCTCCAGCAATTGTGATGGATGATGATAATAAACATAATGACCTTTTTTCTCTCCACATTACATATGTTTACCTCAATATACATTTTATTTCATCATCATTTTATTTACTTATTTAGGAAGTATGAAATTTGCAGCTAGCATGCCCTGGGTCCTTGCCAGGCACCAGGGACCAGCCTAAGTGCTTTATGTATATTCACTTGCTTAATCCTCACAAGAGCTAGGAGATCGTTGCACCAACTTGAGCACCCCCAGTAAAAAGATGTGTACCTCTGAAGCAAATAATACATTATATGTTAAAAAAAAAAAAAAAAGAATTAGAAGAAGATAGCAGGAGGGGAAGAATGAAGGGGGGGAAATCGGAGGGGGAGACGAACCATGAGAGATGATGGACTCTGAGAAACAAACTGGGGGTTCTAGAGGGGAGGGGGTGGGGGGATGGGTTAGCCTGGTGATGCATATTAAAGAGGGCACGTTCTGCATGGAGCACTGGGTGTTATACGCAAACGATGAATCACGGAACACTACATCAAAAACTAATGATGTATGGTGATTAACATAATAAAAAAAAAAGATGTGGAAATGGGAACAGGGAGTCTCATGGCTACTGAACAGATGAAAAGAAATGCAAAGCCAGGTAATCTGACTCAAGAGCATCTTGATTTATGCATTCACCGCTGCCTCTGAAACTTAGGACCCAAGTAACACCTGTACTGGAGCCAACCGCTCTCTAGGAAGTAGGTATAATAATTTGCATTGACCCCACCTCCAGAGTCAGTGCCATCCATGCAATGTCCTTTTGGGGACCAAGACAGTCTTCCAGTACCTTTCCCTTTCCCACTGCCCCCTCTACTGATAGACCCAGGCTGGAGTTTCTTCCTTGAATCATTTAAGACCACTGAAAATGCATTTGGCTTTCTTTCTTTCTTTTTTTTTTTTAAAGATTTTATTTATTCATTTGACAGAGAGAGACACAGCAAGAGAGGGAACACAAGCAGGGGGAGCAGGAGAGGGAGAAGCAGGCCTCCTGCGGAGCAGGGAGCCCGATGCGGGGCTCCATGCGGGGCTCGATCCCAGGACCCTGGGATTATGACCTGAGCGGAAGGCAGACGCTTAATGACTGAGCCACCCAGGCACCCCTGCATTTGGCTTTCGAAGAGAGGAAGAAGGAAGAAGCAAAGATAAGACAAGACAGTGCTAGTAACAAGACTAGAAATTGTGTGAAGCTACCTTTATTTGTCTCTGCAGTCTCTTACTCTGATTTCTCTTCCTCATTAAACTGCACCATGAACTAAAAATCTTCCTCCCTTCGTTTCCTTCCTTCTTCAATCCCACCCTCAAATATGTCTTACTTGCTTCATTTCTACATTGCTTATTATGTCAAGGGCCATGCTGGTTGCCAGGTTTGCAAAAGTAAATGATATACTCCTTCCCTTCCCCTTACGGGCTTGGTGGTGGGAAGGGAGAGCAGATGAGTAAATGGAGTAGAGCCCACTCTGAGAAAAGTTAGCACTGAGTGCTATCACTGAGTTTTCTTTCTGTGAGGGTAAGGGAAGGTTTAAAAGAAGAATTACCTGTCTCTTGAGGAAAGGGGAAAAGAAGACAGTAGCAAATGACAGAATAATGGGAAAGGGTGAGGTCTAGAGAGGATTGTGGGTAAGCTGATTGAGGAGGAAATGACAATCTAAGTAGAACAGCTGATCCAGTGTGTGGTTGGTTATACCACTTCCTAGCTATAGAAACTCAGAGAAGTGCCTTTGTTTTCCTCAGTCTAGCTTGCCTATGTAAAGTGGGCAGGATGGTATGACTTGCCCCACAGGACTAAGCCTTATGTTGTTCTTTATCTTCCAACCACATGTGTCTTGCTCCTTCGCCTCACCCAGGTCTCAGCCTCATGCCACGTCCCTGAGAGACCTCACTGACCACACTGTCTGAAATAACACTCTAGTCACTCCACTGCATTTTCATTCAAAACAATGATTGGTTTACTTTATAATTTCCTGTCTCCTCCACTCAAAAATAATGTTAATTTATAATAATGGACATTTTTAGCATCATACTTCCCACATCATGTATCCATATATATTTATACACACATAAACGTAGTATATAGTAAGCACTAAACATATGTGTATATATACGCATATAGGACATTCTAGTCTATGTCTTTTTCTTTCCTCTTTTTTATTTCTCAGTTTCTTGGTAAAATCTGCCCCCCCTTTCCTTTTAGTTTTTTTTTTTTTAATTAAGTAATCTCCACACCCAACATGGGGCTCGAACTCATGACCTGAGATCAAGAGTTGCATGCTCTTCTGACCAAGCCAGCCAGGCAGGTGCCCCTAATAAAATTCCTTTTGAGAGACTCTACTTCCATCTCCCTTAAAGTCCAGAGAAAATCAAATTATCTATACCAAGAGTAAGAGGACTTGGGTGGGAGGGAGCACATCTAGAGACCAGACCTAGAAGTGTAAATTTCTAAATTTCATTTGGACTTTAAAACACAGTCAACCCTTGAACAACTCAAGAGTTGGGGTGTTGACCCCCACACAGTCAAAAATCCAAGTATAACTTTTTTAAAGATTTATTTGAGAAAGAGAGAGCAAGTGAATGATTGGGGGGTGGGCAGAGGGAGAGAATCTTTAAGCAGATTCCATGGTTTGCAAAGGTAAATGAGGGCTCAGAGCCCTGAGGGCTGGATCCCAGGACTCAGATCATGATCTGAGCCCTAATCAAGAGTTGGATGTTTAAGCAACTGAGCCACCCAGGTGCCCCAACTTTTGACTCTTAATAGCCCACTGTTGATCAGAAGCCTTAGTGATAACCAAATAGTTGGTTAACATATATTTTGTATGTGATATGTATTATATACTGTATTCTTACAATGAAGTAAGTTAGAGAAAAGAAAATGTCATTAAGAAAAGCATAAGGAGGAGAAAATACATCGACAGTACTGTACTGCAAAGAATCCATGTGTAAGTAGACCCCCACAGTTGAAACTCGTATTGTTCAAGGGTCAACTGTACAAGGATTGGAGACATGAGCGTGAAGGAATTAAAGTGCCTCCTTAATTATTTCACTTTTTTTTAAGGCTTCTAGTTCCGCATTTTTGTTCAACTGAGATAATGTACAGTCTGCTCAAGCATTTTTCTATCTTCACGGAGAAAAGTTGCTAAATGTGCCACAAAATATGTGCGCTTTTCTTTAGCACCTTCTTGATGTTGGGCCCCTCCTTTGGCATCTTCTTGGAGCAAGGAAATTATAATCGTCTACACCTCTTCCTACAACTAGCTTACCTTCATCATTAGAAAAGACACTGTACTAACTGATAGACCCTGTACTAACAGTATGGCTCCTCAGTTTGAGCAAAGATCAGGTTTACACTGGAGCAAAATTTGGAGACACACGTGTGCAGGGTCTGAAGCATGGTTGTGAAGGCTTCGGTACATTTGTGCTGCCGAATGCCTGTTGAGTTAGGAGTGATTCGTGCATAGCATAGCATAGCAGTGAATGTCCCAGAATGTTGAGGGCAAGGGTAGAGGTGGCAGTTATCATTTCAATACTCCTTTTCTCCCTGAGGAGAGAGAGATACTTCTTGCCATTGTAAGCACTTTACATCACAGCACTTAAAAGTAATCTCCCAGGGGCTGTTTTACTGGGAGGTGAGGTGAGAAAGAAAGGGGAGATGGATATGTGGAATGGGGGTTTTGAAGGCCACCGGAAAGCCTGGAGGAGGCAAGAATTATGAAAGAGAAAGAGTAGGGAAATTCCTTCGGTATATTTTGCTTCAAGAAATGTTGGTGATAACCAGTCTTAAAATGTGAAAGGGACAACCAAACACCATCTTTTTGATTTCTGGGTTAAAAAATAAGCCTCAATTAATATTTATCTATCATAACTCTTCAGCGATCTAACAACACTGATCGTGTTGTTGCTTTTATCATAGTTAGTATCGCAGTGATATGCATTTAGAGTTTTTCTAATGTCATGCACGGAGCAGCCCCGATTGACACCGACAAGTTCAAGCTTTTCTCACCATTTAATTTACTGCCAAGTATTGGCAACTATTGTTGATTTCTATGTAACAAACATTACTGTGTGCCTATTATGTCAGAGTCCTCAAACTGGAGACACTTCCTTCCTACCATTAACATTTGCTCTCCTGCTCTCTGTTTTTCTCAAGGTTCCAGAAGATCATATTTCTCTGCACAGTGGCTTAGCTAGACCCCTAACAATTGGCAGTAACAAAGGAAGAGAAAAGGTAGCATAACTCAAAGTAAAAAGAAAACATTAATACAGTCTTAACAAATCCTGATGCCACCAACACATACATTTCTGTATGTACGCATATATGTATGCATACATCTATCTATCTGCCTATATATATCTATTGGATTGCATTAAGTGTTCCGAAGAAAAGAGAAGACTTTTTTCTTTTTTTCTCCCACTTTTAGGAGGGCCAATAAAAGGCAGACTATGAAACG